TACAAAAGAGTAGACATTGAATTGTCTTTTTTCAAGAAATAATTTATAAATATATCAAGTGGTAACTCTTAATGTTCTTAAATTGGAAGTTATAAGAAAACTCTTAATTAAGATTAATTTAGATAGCTCAACAGCTTAAAGAGAATATTAAAGGACAAACAGACAAAAGGATATATCTATATCAACTCGGCTGGTGTTGATGACATAGAAATAAATTCAATAATAAGAAAACAAGGCAAATACTTTGTGAATTTTTCATAAGCCTTATTATAAATATTCCTCTATCAAATTTCCTAATATCTTCAGTAAAAATCGGGCTTAATTTTAACAAAAATAAGGTAAGAGGAAATGCCATGCAATTCGTTTGCCACAATATTATTGAAGAAATCCGTAGCAATAATTTATTCCATTCGCTATATAGCCCCGCAGCACATCATTTGCTATACATGTATATATATATTTACTGCATATATCAATCCACTGATATATAGTATATATCTTCCCGCTCATCTGTAGTCAAGTGCAGGCCGCATTCGGTTCTCCCCGTCTGCAGTTTGCTTTCTTTTGCTTTTTTCGGCTGTTTTTTTGCCTTCTTCTCTCCCATTTGTCGAAATGGAATCGATTTTGTTGAAGCCAACGACGGGCGGCATTCTCCCCTTCCTACGCCTCTGTTTTCCCCCTTTTCCTTTTGCTTTTTGCAGGCCCACTCAAACCCCAAAAGACAGAGGCCACGCAAAGGGGGGTGCAGCGACAGGCGCCGTTAAGGTGAATCCCCCTTTTTTTCCTCGGGTAGGTTACAATTTTCAGTCTTTGCCGTAGCTTCTCGCTCTGGCAAACTTGGAAGATAAATGATGCATTTAACAAAAATGTGTAAAATGTTTAAAATACATAAATTGTCGACAAGTTTGAACCGGAGAAAGAATTAAGGAGGAGAAGGAGGTAGAGAAGGAGGTCTTGGAAATAATGCGCGGTAAATTAAACATTGAGCCAAGTCAAGGCAATAAATATATATTTTTAAGATGGGATTTTATGGTGGGATATTAGTTTAGAAATTTAAAGCTTAAATTACTGGATAAAGTATTGAAAACTATAGGTTTTTGTTTAATTTTTTTGATTAGAGATAAAGAGAACTAGTTGAAATTTGATGATATATCAGACTATTCCCAAGTAGATTGTAGATTGTAAAAGAAGTATGTAAAATGCTTAAAAAACATTTAATGAATACTTTTAAATAGGGCAAAGAATATTTAAAATTAAGAGTCAAGCCCATAAATTGTATTTTTCATTTAAAATGTTAAATTATTTTAAAAAATATAACTCAGAAGATATATTTGCTTTGCTATGTATCTTGTAAATACATATCAAACCCTATAAATACTTCTCCATGTTAGGGTAATTTAATTTGTGTAATATTCAGGGTATCAAAATTAAATTTTACCATTAAATTTTTAATTTTATCATCTCCTCCTTAAATTGATCTCTCTTTTCACATGTTTGTTAAACAAATTTCACCTTAACTACCCCAATACATATGTATTTATAAATTACCCCATCTCCAGGTGTAATTTAGTCAACTTTTTGGGACACGCCCAGATGGGAGGCGACTTCTGCAGAAGCAATAAACAATAAACAATGCCAAAGTGCAACCACAACAACCGAAGCAACAACGAAAACGAAAACAACAACCAATCTCTAAGCCTGCAACGATACGCCAATAATATGTTGTCACTTGTCAATCAAGATGCAACAGCAACGAAAACATCAACAAGAGGAAAAGATAGTGACACCGACAAGTCGATAGGTTAATACTCTAACGGGTAATATTTAAGTACTTGTAGAGTTAAGAAAGATAATTAATTTACTTTTAATGTTCTTAATAGCGCCCACAACAGCTCTTTTTATAATATAATTTAATTTCTAGATAACATTGCATTTAGTGAGCATAACAGCACTGTTAGGGGGCCTTAAAGCATCTACAGATCGTATAAGAGTTCTGTTAATAAACATTACAGCACTTTTAGTACGAATAACAGCATAAAGAGTATCTATAATCATTTAACTTCTAGATAACATTTAACTTACTGCGCTTAACAGCACTTTTAGGGTGATTAACAGCATTTTATGTATATATAACAGCTCTATAATTAAAATAACAGCTTTTCTATTGTCAATAACAGGATAAAGTTTGTGTATAACAGACGCTTTAGAGAGCATAACAGCACTTTTAGTAAAAATAACATAATTAAAAGGTACAAATCAGTAATATTTATTATATTTTATTTGAAATCTTTTAATATATATTTTCCAAAACTGATACTAATGATCAAATATCCCACAAAAAATCAAGGAATCTAGATAAACTTCCCTAATAAATCTTTGATACCTAAAATGATAACACCCTTCTTCTGTCAGGGTATAGCAACAGGAGCACTTGAAACAAACAACAATCTACTTGGAGAGGAGGTGAGAGGTGGTTGGGAAAGCCAGGGAAAATCAGGGGTCCTAAGAGGGAGAGCGGGAGGGCGGGAGAGTAGATCGCTCATGAAATTTTTTTATTTTTCTTTCTGTTTTGTTGACTGCGCTTCGAGACTTTGACTGACGGCTGTCAGAAAATGCCACACGACCCAAAGTGAAGTGAAAATTGGCAACAATGAATGAAATACAACAAAAAACTATTAAAAAAAAAAAGACCAAGACGAAGCCAATAAAACTGGGGGAAAAAGTGCAGCCAGAAGAAGAAATTGCAACACGCGACTTTCCCAAATAAACTAAAAAGTAAAAAAGTAATAACGCATTATAAACAATATGTTTGTTGCCGGCAATGTTGCTTTCTTGTTTTGCATGTTGCACCGGCTACGAGGACGGCAATTGTTGCTGCACTGCTGCTGGCCGCAATTTCCAGCGATTTTCACCGCACACCACACGCATACACACCACAACAACAATCAGTAAAAGTTTTCCAAAACAGTAAAATAAAAGAAATGAAAAGTGAAAAGCGAACTTAGATTAACCGCTCCCTCTCCACATTGCAATGCATCGATTATTAAATACAATCAAAAGATGCTTCACTATTGGCGAAATTCGAAAGTAATTTCAAGAGCTTCGATATCAATTTTTCAGAGATTTATAAAGCAGTTAAATTGGAAATTGATTTGGGTTTAATTTGAGGTATATATCATAGCGAAGTCAGTCAAGCTTAATAAGGATTTTAAATACCTTGAGATTTTTTGAAGAATACTAAAGATTAGATTTAGAATTCCCACTTTTAGTTAGCTTAAGGAAGTCATATATTTGGTATATCAACTGTAAGATTTTATGTAAATAAAGATTTCTTAAAATTTGTATATCATAACTATAAAATTGACACTTTCAAAGACATAATCTTTGATAAATAAGATGTTTTATATTTCTATTTCTATTGTAAAAATTTTATCAAGATCAAACATTGAAGGATTTCCTTGCCCACTTCTTTTTTTTTAATATATCAAAAATATAACATTTCAGATTTTTATAATGATATTTATAGATTGATTTTCAGAAAGAAAAAAACCAAAAAAAATAAAAAAGACTATACAATTTATCTTTGTATGCTTGAAATGATTTAAATCAGCAGAAATTTAAGGGATCTATGTTTAAGGATTTAAAATACCCTTAAAATATTTATTAACACATTGTAATATTAACTTTTTAGCTTTGGGAAACCTTTGATTATAATTCTAATAAGAAGAAAATACTTGTAATAGAACAAACCTATTATATTCACACCCTTCAACTAAATGCAACTACAATTCTGTATGAATACTTCCTTAAAAAAGTTATTTGTAACCATCGAATAGACCTTAGCTATGACTCCTCATCCTCATCCTCATTCTTAGCTCCTTGGTTGGATTGAGACAACTTTTTGCATTCAAAAAGAATTCAAATGAAGGGGACAAATCATCGTCAACTATGGCAGTCAGTCGGCAATGAATAATTACGTGCTGATGGGGGGAAGGGAAAGGAGGAAAGCGACAAATGCTAGGCGGATGCGGAAAAACTTTTCCACTCAAAACCGATCTCGGAATAACTCACGTTCTAAGAGTGCTCTGTGTATATATGTGTATATATGTTCCCCGAGATAAAAGAAATAGAAAACTCTTAGTCCGGATTCAGGTGCAGCTTCAGTATCCAAGTTTCGAGTTCGAGAGTTCTGCGTCTGGTAATTACAAAAGTCGCTTGACGAAGCCAACAATTATATAAGCTATAGAGAACGGAGGCCGTTTTGTTGAGATTCGCGCCGAGGCTTGCATCACTCAGAAAAAAAAAACCAAAGAAATCTTTTGATTTGCGAAAAAAATACATAGCTTTATATACATATAGATATTTTGCGGTTTGGCTTTTGTTCAATGTGGGTATTTAGGTATTTTCAAATGCAGCCAAAGGAACGTCAAAGAAAAAACAGTCAGCTAAGTACAGCAATTGCTTGTAGCTACAGCGAATGTATCTTGTATCTTGTAGATACAAGTCGGCGGCGCAGTTCGTGAAACTGAACTCAAAACCAAAGACACACTAACAAAAATAAATACAGCACAGCGCACACGGAAAAAAAATCGCTGACCTCATTATTATTTTGTGTATATATATCTGTATCTGTATAGTTTGTACATATGTTTTGTATGTACGTGCATTCTCCGCTTGGATTGCTGGCTTTGTATTTATTTCCCTGCTCTTTTTGAGGCCCACAAAAAGCTGCAACAGCTCTAATGTGAGGCAACCCCGTGCATTGATGAGATACATGTTACCCTCAGATGTAATCGCGTATCTTTTGGATGCGATTTGCATTCGACGAGATAATTCCAAAACTCTTACTCAATTTTGTGAGTCTTTGAATGGATTTCACAAGCTTAAGACGCCACAGAAGCCATGGCAATGCAAGAATATAAGTTTTCTAACTCTCTAAATTTTAATTTATAAAAATTAAATAATATTGTTGTAGATAAAAGTAATATATCTGAACTCACCACATGAACACTGCTCTGCAGCTGTCCGGCTAACATGGTCTGGTGCTGCTGTAAGTGCTGCTGGTGTTGCTGCTGCTGATGTTGCTGCTGCTGCTGCTGGTGTTGCTGATGTTGTTGCTGCTGCTGCTGCTGCTGATTTGGATCCGGCAACTTCTTGTCTGTCTTCTTGGCCGCCCGCTTGTTCTTGCTCTCAAGGAATCGCTTCTGCAGGGCGGTTGTCTCCTGATTCTGTTGCTCACAAACGGTGCTAAATGCCTGCTCATAACGCGGCACACAGTCCGTCTGACGCCGCCGGTAGTTTTCCATGCGGCGTCGCAGCCTGTCAACGATGGGTTGCCTCTTGGCTGGCATTCCACCGGACTCGCCGGTGGCCGAGGGTAACGCTCCAGGATTTGTAGGGCCGCCAGTTCCGTTGCCGCCAGGGATTCCAGCAATGCCGTTTCCTCCTCCCAGATTGGCATTGTAGGGCGAGTGTTGCTGCTGCTGCTGCTGCTGTTGCTGTTGCTGCTGCACTTGGATTTGCTGCTGCTGCTGCGCCTGGACATTGTGCTGTTGCTGCTGCTGCTGCTGCTGCTGTTGTTGCAATTGCAGCTGCTGTTGCTGTTGCAGGTGTAGTCCCAGGTGCTGCTGGTGCAACTGGAGATTCAGGTGTTGTTGCTGTTGCTGCTGCTGCTGCTGCTGGGCGACGGCTGCTTGGCTGGCGCTCTGGAAGACTGGCAGGCCGCCCGCATCCATAAATGCGTCCGTGGTGAGGCTTTCGCTGGCGCTCGTTGCTTCGCAGCTTTCGTCTCAGTCGGCGGCGAACGCTGACGGCGACGAAATCGCGAAGAACAAGGCGTCGACGTCGGCGGCGAATATATATATATATATGTTTATATATATATCGATCTCTTATCTATATCTGATATATATCTGATATCTGGCAGTGTTGCTTGTGCTGATGGTTTTCTTTTTGGAAGTAACCGGAAGTGCCCAAGTCTACGTGAAGCAATATCGCTGCTGCTCAGGCAGGTGGAAGTAGCCACAAAAAGGCCAAGTCAACATCTTGTGGCAAGTCCTGGAAATTAAGAAGGTTGGAAAAGATATATTAGTTAAATTAATACAAAGACAAGATATATTTTATACTAAACAGAAGGTTCAATTAATGAAGTTAACTGAGACGTAAGATTAAGAGAATTCTAATAAAAGAACCTTTACTTTTTAGTTACGTTTTAATACTTTATAATTCCCCAGAACTTTCTTAATCGAAAAGTCACTTTCCTATCTGTCTCAAGGTCATACAGTTAGTTCTATTTCTACTTTCTAATTCTCATTTGCAATTCGGCGATTTATGGATTTTTTGCTGAAAGCAAAACTAAATACGAAACAACTGATAAGAACACACTGTAAAAGAAAGCGTATGAGTAATGTCCATACAAATACAATAAGATTTAACTACGTTTCGAGTGTAGAAGAAAACACAACAAATTATAAACAAAATATGTCGACGAATAATTCTTCTAAGAACTGATAAAAACAATGCAACCGGACGGTATAAAAAAAAATCCCCAAGAAATACATTTTTTAGACAGTATTAACACTGAGGAAAATAAACTGTTTACTTAGAAAATAGCTTTAATTAGATTTAAATCACAAATAGTTTACTGTTAATAAGAGAGTAATATTTAATAATATACAACACTGAAAATCGATCTTATATTATGTATTAAATACAAATTAAATTTCCAAGATCCACACATACAATAAGTTTGTGCTTTAAAATATGTTGCGATTTTTAGAGTTCAAAGAAATATTTCAATGATAAGAAAAATAAGCACGTACACTTAAACAAAAGAAACAATTTTAATTAAATTATTGTTGAAGAAGTACAAAATCAAACAATATATTATGAGAAACACTTCAAGAAATAAATCTTTAAAAGCTTATAAAATCCAATGAATATTTTATAAACATATTTAATTGCAATGTTTATTCATTAGATCTGTTTTTATATTACTTTTATTTTTGAAGCTCCAATATAAATGAAATTAGCAAAATGTGAAAAGTATATATTAAAAAAATCTTTAAAAATTATTTTGAATTACAAAACAATTTCCAACAAATCCCGTTTCCGCTTTTTCGCTCAGTGTATGAAGCGAAGCTGATTAAAACCATTAATCGCTGGCAAAACGCGAGCGGCCGTTGCGCGTTTTCTTATACACATATTCGCATTCGCGTGCCTTTGAAAGGCGAGAAATGGCAAAACGGAGCAACGGACGAACGGAGAACAAAACAAAGGCAGTAAAATAAAACGAAGGAGGCGGCAAAAAAGGGGGAGTATGAATACAAAGACAGAGAGAAAGAGAGAGAGACTGACAAACTCAACTGGCCTGCGCCGCGTCTGGCGGTTGAATGAATGACTGATGGATGGACGGAGCCCGTTCGCACCGGAGTTTGAGTTTGAGTTTGAGTTCGAGAGGTGCTGGAGCAATCGCTGCTCAGTGCGCTCAGTACTCAAAAATCCGAATAACGAATGACGACAAGCGACAACGAACTTTAGATGTTGCAAAGACACAAATGAGTAGGGAAACCTTTGACTAGGGATCATAACTATATTATTTTCATAAATCTAGCACATAAATAGCATGAACTAATAAATAAATATGATTCTATAATACTCAATATCTCAGAATGTTACATACTCGGTACTTTCTTTATTTTAATTACTTAAATTTCAATTAAAATTTATAAAAATATGTAATTATTTTATGACTTTCCCTAGGGATGCCCCACTGTACATGGCACGTGGACTCTCGGGAAAGGCGGAACGCACCGGACGGTTTGCAGGCAAATTAAGCTGTAAACAACGGACTAAATGAGATGGCTAAGCCAAGACGGGACCCGGACTCAGACTCAGATTCATACTCATACTCATACTCAAACTCAAACTCCTTCTCAGCTGCAATGGAAACTGAAAACAGGTTTGATCTGCTGCCTCTGTCATTTCCTCGCTTGTCCAAAGTCGAAAATCGAGCAATTCGGAAACGAAACGCCAGCGCGACTTTACTCGCGTCGTTCGAGTGAAAAGGAAGCATAGTTCGCATACAAACGAACGGCGGTTTGGCCGAACCAAGTAACAGGCGCCCAGCGATGCCAGCAGGTGCGAGCGGGAGCAACAGTGGGTGGGAGAGCTGGGCGAGCGAGTGAGTGAGCGGCGAGTGCGAATGAGCGAGACAGCGGCGGGCGCAACACCAGTGCTGCCAACTTTTGACCAACAAAAAAAGCTGTTTTTGACGGGAGAAGTGAAAAAAAAGCTTAAAAAATTTATAAAAAAATCCAAAAAAAGGCTGAAACAAATGTATAAAAAATAGAAAAAATGTCAAAATATAACAATTTAATAAGTTCATTTTTGTTCAAAAGATTTCCATAATTTGATCAATTTCTTCATGGTCTTCCTTATTTTCGTAAGACCTAATAGTTCCTATAATCTGCAGATATTTGATTGGCACTTCATAGTCGACGCAGCATTTCCCGACCCTTCGCAATCTGTTTCTGTATATTAAAATAAAAATGAATATAAATAGAAATGAATATCTTTTGCTTGCACAAGTATGCTTCTTTGTTGCAGCGTGAGCTCGCAGATCACTAAGTTTAGCTGTAATAGTAGTCTTGCAATAGTTGCAATAAACCCTTTGTAGGTCTGTGTCATCCCTGCGAATCCATGCCTTAAATTCATCACTTTTAAGCCAGACATCGCGGCATTTTTGTTTATACTCCTTCGGCATTTTAGAACTTGCTAACAATTTACGCGCACTTTTTATATAGAGATGGAAACACTAAGCGAGTTATGACATTAGCGTATATCAATTAAACCAAACGATACGTCGCTACATTATCTGGTTTGTTTGTAAAGCTAACTTTTTAGCTGCCACTTTTTCATATTTTGTATTTAAGTTTTAACAACACAAAAAAAATCGGGAAAAAGCCAATTCAATTTCCAAAAAAGCCAGAATTCCCGCTTTTCACAATTCCCGCAATTCACAAATTTTTCCAGCAGTTAGCCTTTAAAAAAAGCCTGTTTTGACGGGAAAAAATCCAAATTGGCAGCACTGCGCAACACCAACACCACCACCACAGGTGGGTGAGGGATGTGGTGAGAATGAGAGCGCAAGTTCGTTCTGTTAAGCACTCTGAGTGATTAGTAACTGAACTGTGAGTGACTAGAGTGTCAGAGAGCAAAAGAGAGAGCAGAGTGAGAGAGAGAGAGCAACTGAAAAAAAGGTCAAATTAGAGGCGAGCGATTTGTTTGCTGTTCTTCGCTAATATTGTTATTGTTATCGCCGCATTTAATTAGAAAACAGAACTTAGTTAACCCATTGAGGTAGGCGGTGTCAAATGGAACGGAAATACATCTCTGCAAACGCTGAAAACCCCACGTAATCACGAACTGAGATGTTTGCGGAAATGAAAAATTCATCATTTTTCACGAGAGCTAGATAAAAACAATATTGTGTGACATGTTCTTCAGAGATTTAAAGAAACTATTATATTGTATTAATTGTATTAATATTATTATTATAATTTGAGATTTTATTTAGTAGTTGTAATAGTTTTTTGTTAACATTTTTATTATTTCATACAAGTTCTTAGATTTTCAAATATTTTTCTAAAATTTTTCTATAGTATTTACATTTTAGGTCCTTTAATGTTAAGTTTTGATTCACAAATTATTGTATTTGAAAAATGTAATAAAATCTTGTAAGTGTATATATAACAATTATAATAATTTATCGATAAAACAAATGAATAATTAACTGGAAGAATATATATTTTAATATAAGTACTTTTATAGTTTCTCAATATATCTCGATTATTACATAAAATCCATTTATCCCCGCATTTAAAGTCTATTGAACTGCATAAACTTTTCAATAATTAATCACATAGATAAAAATTATTTATTAATAAATCCACCGCAATCACAATTGTGACGTCAAGTGCTAGCATAACTGAGGAAACCATTGATAAGGACAACTCCTAACTTCTAACATCACCACATCATTTCGAGGGACTTGGCATTTTTAATTAAATTGCTCACTCAGGGGGCATCATTAATTTTGGGCCATAGCTCTCGAGAGAATGGCACGCCGAACAGAGGGACGGTTTTTCATTCAAAGCAAATCGATAAGAGCCATAAAAGTTCTGGCAGTATAAATCCTTCAGTGACGGCGGGAAAAAAGAGAAAAATAAAATTTAAAAAAAGTGTATTTTACTTTAACAGTAACTGTAAAAACGAGCATAAGAAGTGTTACTTCATGACAGGCAGCGCGGCAACGTCAAATGCGGCAGAGACGGAGACAGAGGCAGAGAATTTGCAATAACATTGAGAGAAACCTCATGATTAGGAAACTTGTCTCCTTTGCATCTTCATTGTGCTTTTTCACTCACTTTTCTGAGTGAGTAAAATAGGAGACAGCGCCAGAGTGAGATAGAAGGCAGTTAAAAAGGAAACAAAAACTAATGAGTCTTAATGTAAACTTCAAGGTACAGTGGGAACACCCTTCTGTCGATAAAACAAGTAAAGTATGTTAAAGGTAGACATTAAAAATCTATAAAAAACTAAAATTTATTAAAGAAATAAAAAATACATTTTTAAAAGCTTTTCCAGGTATTTTTAAAATTTAACCTTTTTGAATATATTCCCCTACGATCTCAATTTTTGTCCCAAGCGGCCCAGAGAGCGCACTTCATCCACGCACTCGCACAGAGAGAGCCCGGCGGCAGCGGCGACGGCGTCGTCGTCGTCACGAAAAAACATTGCAAAATCGGCGGGAATTGAAAAACCGCCGGCGACGACAGAAACGCGCCATACCGCGTCCAACGCGTCGGAGCGATTCCGGTGATTGTGGATTGCGGCGTTTTCTGGCATAGCAGCCCCCGAAAAGGCAGCGCACGGCGCTCCAATTGGGGAATCGCATCCAATCAGAAGCGAACGAAACGAAACGGCGGCGACTTACGTCGCGCGTCTATCGCGAAAACGAACAGGCGACCAGCAAAAGTAGCAGCGCGTTTCACGAG